GAAATGCCAGATGTAGGTGATGGGGAGGAAGGCAGCAAATCACACTGCCACGTGTGTACCTGTGCAACAATTTTGCATGTTCTTCACATGTACCCCAAAACCTAAAATGCAATAAAATAAATGGCGGAAAAAAAAAGAAGAAGAAGCAACTCTCCTATTACCTGCTCCTCTTTATATAACTCCATTAAAGAAGGATGCAGAGTTACCTACAAATGCTACAATATGAAGAACTGAAAACCTTCTTAATAAAAAAAAAAATCTCTAAGGCCATGCAGGCTCTAGAAAGTAAATTCCACAAACATCTGTCTCCTTGTTCTGTGTTTCCACTGTGTGCATGAATCTGTGTATGCACATTGAAGAGCAGCGTGTATGAATGGATAGATGGATATATTTGCTTATGCGATTGTGTGTATAGTTTTCTATGCACACTTATGCATACAGGTTTCATTATTTAACTATTTATAACTCACCTTTCACTCACAGGTGCCTCCTGGTTTGCTCCTGTAAATTCATTTGTCTGTGGACTAGCAAATGATAAAATAATACAGCCAGATAGAAGACATAATTCTGAGTTTACATTTTGGAAAAATTACCTTTCATTACTCTAGAAAGAAACCGCTTAATTTATAACTATTCATGTGTATAGCACTATTGGAACATAAAATGCCTTTTTAAAATTATTTAGAAACTAGGATTTATATGATGGCAACCAACATCTTAAGCTGGAAAAAATAGTAATGCTTCCTGATTTAACTAAATCTCTTTATTATGACCTCAGTTCCAACGTGTGACAGCCTTTGTGGTGGCAGTTATTTCAAAGTCAACTCCAGTTTGTAGGTAGTCAGCCCTCTTATTCCATTGAATGTCCTGCTTCAAAGACCCTCCATGAGCTCCTTATGTTCACCCACCATAGTGGTCCCTCCTGCCCACAGAAAGAGTAAGATAACTAGAGGTCTAACATAAGGCACAATCCAATATGTTGGAGATTTGAGGTGTGGAGCACCAGCCTCCATGGTGGCAGAGTTCCACCTCCAAAGCTCTTCGCTCTGCTCCTTTCTGCTGAGGGCTTCACAGTATCCATCTATCACCACTCCTACCTCCTCCTCACTCCAAACAGGATTCTGTCTTCTCTTGGCCCACTCCGGAATGTCTCATACACAGAAAATCTGAATTTCCAAGCCATTTGCCTGTTACTAACTGAGGGTGACAAGACAGTATCAGATGGAGCCCTCCCTCTACATTTTGTTTCTCTTTTTTCCAAAACAACCATAAAAATGAGGAAGTTTACCTATACATGCTACAGTGATAAGATAAAGAGCCGGGCGCGGTGGCTCACACCTGTAATCCCAGCACTTTGGGAGGCTGAGGCGGGTGGATCAAGAAATCGAGACCATCCTGGTCAACATGGTGAAATCCCATCTCTACTAAAAATACAAAACATTAGCTGGGCATGGTGGTGCGTGCCTGTAATCCCAGCTACTCAGGAGGCTGAGGCAGGAGAATTGCCTGAACCCAGGAAGTAGAGGCTGCGGTGAGCCAAGATCGCACCATTGCACTCCAGCCTGGGTAACAAGAGTGAAACTCCGTCTCAAAAAAAAAAAGAAAAAAAAGATAAAGAAACTGTGTCAAAAACACTCTGTATTGCCATGGATACTCCTCAGAGTAAGTCCCACTAATCACAATCTCTCTCTCCGTCATTGTTTTGTTTGTGTGTACATCTTTTATAACTCACATGTCTTCGATGGCTCTACCAATGACGACGCCTGTCAGCTCATCTGGACAGGGACTAAATGACAAACATGTTCAGAATCAGACACAATGTGTATTTCTAAATATTTTGCATCAAATAGTCACAGTTACGCTATGAGTTATCCCTGGTTGCGCTTTAAATAGTCACATGTACGTATACCACCACAATGACCTGGTATGGCATTTTTAAAATTAGAAACGAGGCTTTATATGCCAACAGTAAGTAGTTTAGGCAGTGAACATAGCAATGCATCCAGATCAAGTGATTGTATCTTCACCAAAATGTATAACAGCCTTTTCGAAGGCACTGAATTCCAGTTCAACTTTCATTTGTAAGTCCCCCTTCTTATAATCCCATCTGAATTCCTGATTCTCAATCACCTCGAAACACCTCCTCACTTTTCAGCCATCCTAGTCTTTCCTTCCCAAGAGTTAGGGTCAAGTAGCCACAGGCCTCAAGCGAGGGCTCCATCCCATGTGATGATGGGTACGGGCTCAGGCAGTCAGCCTCACATAGTGCCAGAGCTCTGGAGGGTGGGGGAATACTTCCAGAGCTATTATCTCTCTTCTGTGTGTTTTTTTCTTTTTTTCTGGGGGTTCTGTGCCCTTTGTCCACTGCTGTCTCCATCTGCTCCAAGCAGGATTCGCCTCTCCCTTGATCCACCCTACTAGTACAGTCTGATTCCCACAAAAAAGAAAGGTAGTCAACACTAACATAAAAAGCCTCCCTCTATGAGTTCGTCCACATTTCTTACCTCTTTCTAAAAACAGAAGAATATTTTTCACAAAGCTCACCCTGAGAAGACACTAAAAACAGTTTCAAGGGAACTCCTTGTTCCCATGGATGCTCGTGACAGTGAATAGCCCAAATCTCAATCTCTCTACACATTGTGCATATGAATGCATGTATGTGTGTATTCATATACACATCTTTACTTGTATAATTGTATTCCTTTAGTTCATATGTTGCACTGACTAGTCGACAAGAAGATATCCTTTCAATTCACACACAGGGCAGTGCCAAAGAACTTAAAACATACATAGTAAGACAACATGTAATGTCTCAGCCTTAACGTTTTCAGTTAAAAATAGTCCCAATTACTTTTCAACCTGTGAACTGCTTGATCCTTACAGTTCTTTACATAATTTACACCATACTTTACATAATTATAGCACACATTTTACACTTATCCGAGACTCAATGACTCAAGATTTAACTGAATTCTCTACCACTGAAGATGACCAATGCTTGGCAGCCTTTTGAGGGTGAATTTCTTTTAAATTCAACTCCACTGTGCAGGCAGTCAGCCTGCTAATCACATCTGAGGACCCACTTCCTGGATGCCTCTGTCACCTCCTTCCTTTGGCCCATCACGCTAGTCTTTCCTGTCCATGAGACACAGGCAAGTGGCTGTGGGCTTAAGGAAAGGCAGCATCCAATGAGGCGGTGGACTTGGGGTTGGCTCTGGGCTCCAGCCTCACATGTGGACAGAGCTCTGGAGGGTGAGGGACAAGTCCACATTCCATTAGCTCTGTTCTTTTCTGCCAAGGGTTTCTCGGCCCCTTGTCAGCCGCTATCCCCATGTTGCAAATAGGATTCTCTCCCTGGTAGGGCCACTCTGTTAGGCTCTTGAACTCAGAAAATCTGAGTCCCTGAAGAAACTGCTTACTATCAACTAAGGGTAACAAATAAACTAACAGGAAGAAGCAACTCTCCTATGACCTCTCCTCTTTATACAACTCCATCAAAGACAGATGCAAAGTTACCCACAAATGCTACAATGTGAACAACTGGAAACCCTGTTTAAAAACATTCTTTACGGCCATGCAGTCTCCTGAGAGTAAATTCCACAAATGCCCATCTGTCTCCTTGGTCTATGTTTCCATTGTGTGCATGAGATTATTTGTAGATGTGTGTTGACAGAAGTGTGTATGGATGGATGCACGGATAGATGGACAGATGGATATATTTATGTGCCTGTGTGTGTGTACAGTTCCATGCACACTTATGCACATGTATGTCTTTATTCTTCTAATTATAACTCACCTTTCATTGGTAGGTGCCTCCTGACTTACTCCTGCCAATTCATTTGTGTGTGAACTAGGGATGATGAAAGGACACAGTCAAACAGGAGACACAACTCTAAATTTACTTTTCTGGCAAAACTAGCTTTCATTACTCTACATATAAACCGGATAATTTCTGACTATTCATGTATATAGCACTATTTGGATCTGAAATGTCAACTTTTTTTTTTATTAGAAATGAGGATATACATGATGGATACCAAAAACTCAACCTACGGAAAATAGTAATGCTTCCCGATTTAACTAAACCTCTTTATTAGACCTCAGTCCCAGTGTGTGACACCCTTTGTGGTGGCAGTTATTTCAAACTCAGCTCCAGTTTGTAGGTAGTCAGCCCTCTTATTCCATTGAATGTCCTGCTTCAAAGACCCTCCATTAGCTCCTTAATTTCAGCCAGCATGGTTGTCCCTCTTGCCCCTCAAAAAGGGTCAGGTTACTAGATGTCTCACACTGGGGCACCATCCAGTATGATGGGGATTAGAGGTTTGCAGCACCAGCCTGATGGTGGCAGAGCTGTGGAGAGTGGAGAACACCTCCAAGGCTCTTAGCTCTGCTCCTTTCTGCTGAGGGCTTCACCGTACTGTGACTCCTCATACCGCCCCCGCATTTCAAATAGGATCCTCTCCTCCCTCTTCCCACTCTGGTATATCTCATACACAGCAAATCTGAGTTTCCAGGTATTTGCTTACTCCTAACTAAGGGTGACAAGACAGTAACACAGGGAGGCCTCCCTCTATAGTGTTTTTCTCTCTCTTTTTTTTTTTTAACAACTGTAAAAATGTAGTAGTTTGCCTGTACCTGCCACAGTGAGAAGATAAAGAAACTGTGTCAAAGACACTCTGTATTGCCATGGACACTCCTCAGAGTTAAGTCCCACTAATCTCAGTCTCTCTGTCATTGTTTTGTTTGTGTGTGTGTTTGTGTGTACATCTTTTATAACTCACATGTCTTCAGTGGCTCTATCAACAATGTCTTCTGCCAGCTTATCCGGATGGGCACTAAAGGACAAATATGCTCAGAGTCAGACACAATGTGTAATTCTAAATGTTTTACATCAAAAAGCTACAGTTACTCTATGAGTTATTCCCTGGTTATACTTTAAGTGTTCACATATCTCCTAATTTTTTAATGATCACCATTCTAACTGGTGTGAGATGGTATCTCAATGTGGTTTTGATTTGCATTTCTCTAATTACCAGTGATGCTGACTTTATTTTCATATGTTTGTTGGCTGCATAAATGTCTTCTTTTGAGTAGTGTCTGTTCGTGTCCTTTGTCCACTTTTTGATGGGGTTATTTGTTTTCTTCTTGTAAATTTGTTTAAGTTCTTTGTATATTCTGGTTATTAAGGCCTTTGTCAGATGGGTAGATTACAAAAATTTTTTCCCATTATGTTGGTTGCCAGTTCACTGTAATCATAGTTTCTACACTGTTGGTGGGAGGGTCGGAGTGTAAATTAGTTCAACCATTGTGGAAGACAGTGTGGCAATTCCTCAAGGATCTAGAAACAGAAATACCATTTGACCCAGCAATCCCATTACTGGGTATATACCCAAAAGATTGTAAAACATTCAACTGTAAAGACACATGCACATGTATGTTTATTGCAGCACTGTTCACAATAGCAAAGACTGGGAACCAACCCAAATGCCCATCAAAAATAGACTGGATAAAGAAAATGTGGCACATATATACCATAGGATACTATGCAGCCATAAAAAAGGATGAATTCATGTCCTTTGCAGGGACATGGATGAAGCTGGAAACCATCATTCTCAGCAAACAGGCACAAGAACAGAAAACCAAACAATGCATGCTCTCACTCATAAGTGGGTGTTGGACAATGAGAACACATGGACACAGGGAGGGGAACATCACACACCAGGGCACGTCAGGGGGGTGGGGACATTAGGGGAGGGGTTAGCAGGGGGTGGAGAGATTGGGTAGGGATAGCATTAGGAGAAATAGCTAAAGTAGATGATGGGGCGATGGATGCGGCAAACCACCGTGGCACGCGTACACCTATGTAACAAACCTGCATGTTTTGCACATGTACCCTAGAACTTAAAGAATAATAATAATAACAAAGAAATGTTAAAAAATAGAGTACTTTGGAGTAAAACTAAACTAAAATAAAGTAAAACTTCATATGTAAATCACTAAATTGACCTGGCATGGGGATTTTTTACTTTAGATATGAGGTTTTATATGCCAAGAGCGAATATCTTAGTCTCTGAACATAGCAGCACTTCCAGATTAAGTGACTCTAACGTCACCAAAATTTGTAACAGACTTTATCAAGGACATTTAATTACAGTTCAACTTTCATTTGTAAGTCTCCCTTCTTATTATCCCATCTAAATTCCTCATTCTCAATCACCTCCAACCACCTCCTCATATTTCACCAATCCTAGTAGTCTTTCCTGCCCAAGAGTTAGGGTTAAGTAGACGCAGGCCTCAAGCAAGGGCTCCGTCCCATGTGATGATGGGTATGGGCTCAAGCAGTCAGCCTCACAGAGTGCCAGAGTTCTGGAGGGTGGGGGAATACTTCCAGGGCTATTATCTGTAATTTGGGCTGTTTATTTTTGTTTTTTGTTTTTTTTTGCTGGGGGTTCTGTGTCCCCTTTGTCCACTGCTATCGCCTTCTGGTTCCAAGCAGGATTCACTTGTCTCTTGATTCACACTACTAGTACAGTCTCATTCCCACACAAAAGAAAGGTGGTAAACACTAAAGTCTCCCTCTATGAGTTCTTCCACGTTTTCCTATCTTATTGCAAAAAACAAAAGAATATTCTTGGGCCGGGCGCGGTGGCTCAAGCCTGTAATCCTAGCACTTTGGGAGGCCGAGGCGGGTGGATCACGAGGTCAAGAGATCAAGACCATCCTGGTCAACATGGTGAAACCCCATCTCTACTAAAACTACAAAAAATTAGC